TGTGATAGGATTGCTTCTAGTGTGTGGGCAGACCGTGTGGCGCATTACGTCCGTGATGTCGCAGTGCCATGCGGATTTGCGCGGCCTTGGTGGAAAGTGCGTTTGCGCGGCGCCTTGCCACTGAGGAGCGCGAAACATGCTGGCGAAAGCGCGGCGTGTCGCTGGCGAGCGGGATGATGGGCGGTATCGTGTGAACAGCCCTCGGTGCACACCAAATCACCTAGGACCCCTGGGGGCCAACCCCATTTTAGCCTCCAAAGTGCTAATGAAATGGGGGGGTCCAAGATTTCAATATTTTCGCATCGTTTTCCATTTCCTGGGTAAATTGAGAGGTGCCAACATTTCAGACTCTAGAAATCTCTGTATCGAGATTCAGCTCGCGCACCTGATTTGCAAGGCCTGGTCCACTCTCAATCTGCTGCAATGTCAGCCCCCTAGATTTTATTTTTGCGCCTGCTTCTAACCCTTCTGATTTGTCATTGTCTGGTGCGACTCTGTACGTGAGAGGATTAGTTGCAGTCTCCATACGACTTGCAAGTGAAAAGTTAGTAGAAAACTTGGAGTTGGCTTGGGCAAGTGACCACTGTTCAACTGTGGAAGAATGTGGGCAAGAGCTAAGCAACAAAGTTCTACACTACTCTACACAGTTCTGCTAGTTACAACTGATTTCTCAAGAGCCCACTACTCAGGCTCAATTCTGATTAATGCCGCAGGCAGGAGAGTCAATGACCCTCTCTCTGACTTCTTTGTGGAAAAATCTCTCTGACTTCTTTGTGGAAAAATCTCTCTCTCTTTCTCTCACTCTCTCTCTGGCCCAATAACTGTCCAATATCAGTTTCCAAATAAAAATGGGGGGGTCCAACCCAACCTCTCTTGAAAATCCCTCTGATAAAAGGGGGTAGCCAACCTTAGATCCAAGTCGAGATAGACTCAGACTGATTTTATTTTTAACGTAGTTTTCTTGTCTGGACCAATTTTATTTTGGTGACCTTCAAAATCAGGTCGGCCCCCTGGCTAGGATCTCTCTCCTTCCAGGGGGCCAAGTAACCCCATCTTAGCCTCCATGGCCAGATCCCTCTCGTGTGATCGGATTGCTTCTAGTGTGTGGGCAGACCGTGTGGCGAATTACGTCCGT